CTTATTGTGTAGCTCGAATTGTTCCACCTTACCCCATTATAAACTAACTCATGTTAGTTTGAGCCCTTGGATTTAGCCCCACACCATTCTGAGAATTCCTCACTTTCTGGTATCACAAGATTTTCCAGACTCATTTTGTACCTTTCTTTTATAATTTTTTTAATTTTTATTTTTTGGACCCGGGATCGAGCTCATGACCTCACACTTACCAGGCAGGTGCTTACACTACTGAGCCAAATCCCCGGCCCCATTTTGTACCTTTACTAAACCAGTCCTTCACTTGATCAGTATACCAAGCAATATAGGTACTGTTTTTAGAGAATGATTTTAGTAATCCAAGATCTGAGCACAAAATGTGCTCATTGCTAGTCACTGGTAGTCAAGGCATTGGCTTTCACTGTTTCTAGGCTTACTCAGGGAGAGTCAGAAATTTTGTGTCACATACTGTGACAGGCACACACTAATGGAGATCTATAGGTCTGTATATACCTTTTTGTGCATATGCATAAAAAGTCATGAATTTAAACTGATTCCAGTCACATTCATAGAAAGCACGGCAGATTTGACTAGGCTAAGGAGAATGGAGGTTGGATAGGTTTCAGAATCAGAAAATATACATTAGTAGAAAATCTGAAGATATTAAAATAAAGTCAATAACTTAACAATACCGACCAGTTAAGTTTTCATTTTGATAACTGTATTATTATGACAAAAAGGATGGTATTAGGGAAAGTTTTATAAAAGATATATGTAATAATGCTCCATATCATTTTTACAACTTTTCTGTAAGTTTAAAACAAGTTCAAATAAAATTGGGGAGAAACAATGTTTAAACTAGTACTTCTCAAACTTCTCTAAGAATGTAGTTTAGTTTTCCAAGTCAAGTGTTAAGATTCATCCAAAAGTTCTAATTCTGCCTTGGACTACAAATTTGGCAGTTGTATCATAACAAACCACAGTTTATATACCACACACAAATTAATTACACTAAATTCAGGCTTACTGTGTTTGCATAATGCTTTCGGATTTTTTTTCAAAACTCTTACGCAATCTCTGCTGAAATAATTATTTCAGATCTAAAGTTTACTAATCATAAATGCTCATGATATAAAATTGAACACAACCAGTTCTCCACAACTTTACAAATATTTTGCTTTTCATTAGAGGTTACAATAAAAGTTTGAAAAGTGAGAAAAACTACTATGAATGAGATATTCTTGAATTTTCTTCCATTCTTTAACACCTTAAATATTTTGGAATCAATAAATAAAACTTAATCACTTGTGTTTGTAAGTTAATTTTTTTCTCAAATAGCATTACAGCAATATTCAGATCTGCTACTTAATTCCATTGGTGAAAATAACATGTTTTCTCAGTAAAGTAATGAAGGGTTTCTTAAGAAATAACCATCTCTGAGGAACATATTTGCAAAATTACAAGCATTTTAGAATTGGTTCTGCTAACCTATGGAAGTTATTTTACTCTTTACATCTGATATATGTAAGGAAAGTAGGGTATGTGTTAATGGGATTATGGGCATGTAACATCTAAATGGGTTTCATACAGTTCTGGATGAGTCAGGGTAGCACCACCCTGGGAGTGGGTGATACCAATCAATAGGTTTATTTATATGAGGATGAAAGACAAATTCATGTATTTATGTTTTCAGCGTGGATTTCACCAGTTTCAAACCACATTTTAGTCAAGCCTCAGAATCATTCAATGATGTCTTAACCTAGAGTGACAGGCAATATTCATTAAATGCTTTATAAGACCCCAAATGATTTGATGCCATTTTCTTCAAATCTCAGCTTTTAATATTCTCCCTCCCTTAACCTGCTCTAGCCAAGTGGATGTTTTACTGTTCTTCAAATCATCAGAACTGTTTTTTAAATCATCGGAAGTTCTTTCTTGCATCTTACAGTTTTTGCTTCTCCCTGTCTGGGAAATTTATATATCAGACATTTAAATGGTGATTTCTTTAATTTGTTCAGACCTTTGATAAAATATCAACTGCAAAATGAGTTTTGATATGTCATTTAAATTAAATTAACTGCCACATCCTTGCCCTGCTTTGTCTGCCTTTATTTTTCTCCAGTATTACTTTTGATTTATTTGTCCCATTATCAGAACAAAAGCCCCTTGCAAACAGGGAATTCCTGTTGCTTTACTCTCTATCTCCACAACATATGAAACACTTTTGTAGCTTGCTTGTCATTCAGTAAGTAATTTCAGAGCTGATGAAAACAGTAATGAATTAGGTAAAGATTATTAATTTTTACATAAAATGAACAGAAATTTAACTGCGCATGTAATTCGCTCAATATTAGTTGGGTTTGGCAGTCAACTATTTCTGCCAAAACTAGTGTTCTTTCCTCTTTACCTCATTTCCCTTCTAAATTTGTGAATTCCAATCACAGTATGAGCCCTAGAAGACAACATTTTGTTTGTAATTGGGACATATGGTTTCCAGAGAGTTTGATTTTAGGTATTATCTTAGTAAAAGAAGTTTCTGGATCATACACTTTATAATAATGATATACCTATTCTTGGTTTCAAGACATAGCATTAAACTTTCAAGAAAACAATTATCAAAATAAATATAACATAAAATCTATACTGTAGGCATGCTTCATATTTCCTTATTTTGATAGTGCCAAGTTTATATGCCAGATTTGGGCACTTTAATGAGTACCATGACTTTCATGGTAATTTTCATACAAAATTTAGGTTATTAATGTTAATTGTATGACTCAATATAACCTCTGCTAAGTTCCCTTGGTTTAACTTTCATTCATATGATATGTAACCTAATGATTTAACAGGAATAAATATGTGTGTATGTTTACCTTGCCAACAGATATAATTAGAATTAACCTCATAATTAAATACAAAAATATAGTTACATCTTTAATTAAAAATTGAAAATCAGAGTTTTGTCACTAAATATGTAATTTTTCATTATAAATCGTTACTGTGTGTCAGCATGGAAAAACTGCATTGGCTACTCCAAAGCCTTTCAAAAATCCCTTCTCTTTATTCTTCTACATAAGCGCAGATACTTGGTACAGAATACAGTTGCTAAATATGTCAGATTAAAAAGAAACAAATACAAGGCTCTCCAATGGCAATGCTGACCCCCAGACTGTGCAATGTATAACATGAATGTCATTACCACTTTACCCAGCTATGATGGTAATAGATCATGCATATTTGTAACTAATGCACTTTTCCATATTAAGTGCTAGCAAAATAACCATGAGTCATCTTTTTCTTCATCCACTGTTTTCTAAGGAAAAATATAATTTTCTCCTTAACAAGTTTAGCTTTTTCAACCTCTGGATTCCATCCCCTACTCTCTCCTTGCATTTTTAATCTTTATCTTTACTAATATTTACCTCAAAAATGAGACTTTAAAAGCCAGAAAATATATATATATATATATATATATATACATATATATATATATATATATATATATACATATATATATTCATATAAGCAAACATATATGAAATAGAAGCTTTTTTTAACTTCTCTATGTAATAGTGTATAATTGTTTCCTTTCTTGGATTTGTAAATGAGCCTAATAAAGTGACAGTCTCCAACATGTTTCATTTCCTTATCACATCTTTTTGCTTATCTGTTCTCAAAATGAGAAAGTGTCTATGCTCAAAGTTGTTTTCTCAGAAGTTCCCAAATACTAACAGCTTTCTGTTTGCTCAGTGTCCAACAAACTAAAAACATGTATAAGTGCAACAATCCAGTTCTTCCGAGATATTATTACTTTTTATTTCGTTACATTATAAATCTTCTCACCAAGCAAAGTTAAAGTATTTACGAGTTATACAATGTAAATTAACTTCAGTCTATGAGTTGTGTGAAATATTACTAGTGGGCCTTGTTTTCTCATTTGTACATAGAACAATACCACATTTTCAGAGTTAGTTTTATAATCTATGATAAAGATAGTATGGAAAAATAATGAAGACATAGGCGAGTTTTACTGGCTGCTCAACTAACGTCTAAACAAGCTTGCATGAAAAGTGTTGATCATATTTTTCAAAGAACAAACAATTTTCATTCATGTTTTGGTACAACTTTTCCACTGCACAAATTAAAGGCTTGTCAATGTACAGAATGGAAACACTTCTATTCAGAACTTGAGAAAATTGCTCCTGGGAAATTTTTTCTGTCTCAACAGAACAGAAATGCTTTAAAATATCACTGGACACTTGCTATTTTTATGCTTTTAGTAATTTATTCCACCTACTATAAACCCAAAGGAAGAATTTTACTTGTCCTGGATTTATTTCTCTTGGCACTTCACTTAAATAACCATCAATTAACTTTTTCAAAGCATAGGCACAAGTATAGTACACAGCAGAATTTATTTAGAAAATCAATATTTTTGTCTGACGTACAGAATTAGGAACAGAGAAAGGAATAAGATGAAATGCATTGTTTTTGTGTCTTTAAGATTAGTGATTATCTTCACTCCTTATATTTCCTTGATCATAAAAGTTAAAACTATATTTTAAGAAACTATAAAATAAATACATAGGAACAAAAAGTTTCTGAAGATATAAAATTCTCTTATCCACCTTTAACTGCATATAAAATCATTTACTTTAAACTATTTTTTTTTTCCTTTTTATTTTTTGGTACCAGGAGTCAAACTCATGATCTCACTCTTACCAAACAGACACTGTGTATGCTGAGCCATATACCCAATCCTGTACTCATTTTTACAATTACTTTTAATAATAAAACGCTAAATGCAACACATGATTTCAAGGTACTGAAATAAGATAGCAAAGGGCTATCAATTTTCTATATTTGGATCCGTAAAGCATATCTATCAGATAAAGGTAACTCACAGAAACATAGTTACATATTTAGTTGAAAATTTTGGCTTATTATATTTCTAATCACATAACCTCACATTATTTTTAAGTAATTTAAAATGTTACTTTAAAGAAAAAAAAATATATACTTACTGCCCTCTAGAGGTATGGACCAGTAGTGTAATAAGTGTAGATGTGGCAGGGCATATACAGTTTAAAGCTAACATGGCGTATTTAAACTCTTCTTCACAAACAACATGATCTGTTTAAAATAAAATAGGTAAATTAGAATAATTTACCTTGGGAGAATAATATTTTTAAATATTTACAATGAAACATAGTGCATAAAATTGAAAAATCGCATTAGAGACTTACTCATCTTACAGATGTTTTATATGTGGAATTGTAACCCCAGGAAAAGTTTTATAAGATAGTATTAGAGAATGGTTTAAATGAGTGAGAGTATAAGAGTGTAATCCTAATTCCATCTTTAACAAACCTGAAAACTTTTGATAAAATGCTTAATCTTCCTATGCTTCATCGGTGTAGTGTAGCTGGGTTAGGAACAGAGTCTAGAATATGCGTCTGATAACTTGTTAAGTCTCCTTTATTTCTGATCATTTCATGGTATGAAAAACAATAATACTGTACTGAGTTTCCAGATTTATAAGCACATGGCATTTACCTTGAATAAAAATAAGAGATTTTATTCTGGGAAAACAATTAAAATATTGATCAACAAAAAATAATGCTAAAATAGATTCAAGTGGAAATGCATTTGATATTCATATAAAGTCCAAAGATGGTAACTAAAATAATGGCAACTCAAATTCAGTGATGTAAAAACATTAGAGTGTGCTGGAGATGAAACTTGGGGAGGAGGTGCAGGTTGTACCTACAGGGTACAGTGCAACTCAGTCCAATTATATCATCCTTTTATGGGAATAAGCATCCAAGAAGCTAATTCTTTAATTTTTGGCAGAAGTCATTTTTAGAAAAGTGAATAAAATATTACTTCTATTAAAAATAAAACAGTTTATCAAGTAAGCAAATATAACTGGAAATCGAGTACTGTATGTTTCAAATTCTAAGGCAGAAAACATTTGCCTTAGTTAAAGAATAAAAGATAGAAGATGTCAGTGAACTTGACCAGCAAACTGAAACACAAACACTGAATATGTTAGGAATAAACAAGCAAAGATTACTTGGGAAGTAGTTTAGCAAATGCTGTGCTGTATTAATAATGACCCTAGTCTTGTTTTTGTAATTTGATGTATAAAGGACTTCATTATTTTTTCTTTTCCTTTAAATTGCCTTAATTTTTCTTTTCACATTTCTTAGAAAAATTATATACTGTAACTACATCTCAGAAGTAACTCTCAAAAATGTCTAGGATATCCTAATATATGTCTTTTTCTCTCCCCATGAGTATGTTGCAAGATCTTTAAGAAAAATTATAGAGGTATATAACCAGAACACTTAATGGTTTTTGGATTTTCTAACTCAAATTTTCAAATTGGAGAAGTGTACTTAAAATTTACAAAAGAACAGTGCATTTAAACCACAGTTTTGATAGTTCCAAGTTATTTTCTAATGTGTATGCTCAAATCTCTGAAAATCATGTAAAAAACTGCTAAGTGCAGACTGTATTACTTTAGAATCATGATAGCAACACAAAAAGGAACCAAAATTTCAAACCAAAAATCAGAACATATGATCTGAGAAAACTATGTACATTTATAATAATATAACACAGAATTTTTAAAATTCGAACTGTAATAAAAAATTTAATTAGCATATGGGCAATATGACAGTCAATTAACTTTCTCTTAATGCAATATACAGACAATATTTTTTTCCAGTAAGGGAATGTGAAGATATATGATAGTCATGAAATACTTTGAAAATGCTCCTTTTTATTTTCTTCACTAGTTAAGAGAGAAATATATGGTCTCTACTCTTCCTGTTTTCTTAATGAACTTACTAAGTGATGGATATGGAAGAATTACATTGCAGTAGCTAATTTTTCAAAATCTGTAGTAATCCATATTATACTAATATAATCTGTGAGAACTGAAAAGAAAAAGGACTAATAAATTTCTGGTAGTCATTTTTGTTTTTCCATACTTTTTCTTACCAAGGTAAAGATTTTGTAGTATCCATCAACCATTAAAGCTATAGGAACAGGTACGACTATTAATAATGATGATTCACACATAAATAAAATGTATACTAAAATGTTTTAGATTGCTTTCTCTATAGAGAGAGTAATTGTATAGAGAGAGTCATCATATATAATATCTATGGACACGAAGGATTTAGAGATAAAAAAATTTGCTTAGAATTTTGTGACAGTAATATAAATTTAAGACTTTTGATTACTATTTACTGCCAATGTCAGCACTAATTTCCTACACTGTAATTGGTGCAACCATCTCTCTCTTCCATTGTATTAGCATGGGTATTCATTCTTGAACATTGAACAACCTGAATACTATTATTTCCTTCTTTCTGTTTTCCATTAAAATTGGGATCTTCATTATTTTAAAAACAGTATAGATAAATTTACTCTGAATTTCATTCCAAAATAGTACAGAAGTGTCGCAAAATATTTACTGTAAAAAGAATGTAATGTATAAGTAAGAAAAAAATTACTGCTGCATAAAAGTATATATTATTCTTATAAAAGTAAAATCAGTACTCTTCATTTTTTATTTAAAAATCTGATTAATCTCTATGGATAGCAAACACACGGAAAGGCAATGATAGAACATTCAGATGGATAATAATCTTCAGTAGCATACATTACACAAAGCTGTAACTCAACCTGTAAAACAGAATTGATTGTCTCTAGTTCTCTCCTCTCAGATCTAAATACAACCTTCCTCTCGGAACAATTTTTATTATTACTCACTAACATCTAAGCTTAATTTTAAAAAGTAAAAATAGCTAGATTGAGGGTGAATTGCCAGAGTGCTTTTCTAGCATGTACAAAACCCTGGGTTTGGCACACTGCATCAAAAAACATTTTATTTTTACATTACTTCATCCCTCGTGTCCAAATGTGCCATGGCAGGCACAGTTTATCGAGGGTCACATTTGGGTAATCTTAACTAATAAATGAATATTCATTCCCAGTGAATATTCTCAGTCATATTACCGCAAAAATTTGTTCATCTACAACAGAAGAAATAGGAGACTTTATGGGAATAGATGTAAATTGGAAAAACAGGTTAGTGAAAGCTTATGGAAGTTAAGTTTCTCTTCATCCAGCTCTATTTTTTGTTGTTTTTTAGTGAAATACATGGAAATGACTGCTAAGGAGATTAGAAATTTGAAATGGCAGTTACTCTCTTACCTGATTTACTTACTTTAACCACATTATAATTTACGGAAGTTAAATTTAAGCAAATAGCATGCTAGCTTCAATTAGGTTTGACTTTTGACAAACAAGTCCAGCTAATATAGAGTACATCACCTGAAAATGAACTCTAGGAATGTGTTACAATGATGTGTGTGGTGTGCCATGGAACTCGAAGGCTAAGAAGGAATAACAGGACATGAGATGCTAGTGACACTAAGTCAGTAGGATCAATGACTTTCGGGAATCAACATGGTCAAATGTAGTTGAGGTTCCATATTAGAGAGTATTAATTAGAAAGATAGAGGGTGTTGGTAAAAGAAGAAAAAGGTATTAAAACTGGAAGTAACAGAAAGTTTCTACTTATTTTTAATGACATGCCTAGAGTAGATTATCATCCTAGGAATTGCTGAGATAGGATGGTGGGCAAAAAGAGAAATTTTGAAAGAATAATTTTTAAGGATAGGAGTCAGTATCATCAACATGAAGAAGCACAGATGGAGAGGATGACAGTAAGTAGATGGAGAAATTTTATTTGCCTTACCCAATACTTACATTTCCTTTTTGAAATATTTCAATGTATAAGTGCATTTTTATCAAGCAGTTGTCTAATTAAAAGTAGAAGACTAATCATATAAAATTTAGAAATTGTGCAAGTGTGTAATGTAGGATATAATTCATGCCTAACGCTGCTATTTTCCTTTCTATCCACTTTCTCCACTGTATGAAGAACCACATGTGTATAGAGACATAAACGGAATTGGTGATGGGAAAAGGGATGAATACTAAAGCACACTGACAGGATCGCACTGATTTCTGTCAGGTATCTACAAAGAGATAATCTAAGGTAAGAGTCAAATTCATTTACAAGCAGAAAGCTCTGTTAAATAGGACATAGTTTGCTTGCAATTAGAAGTCTAATTGAGTCCTGAAATATGAACGCTTAAGAGAACTGAAAAAGTGCACTGTTGCTCTAAATAGCAGCAGATGACACTCTGCTTTAGAGCCTTTAACAAATACATCCTTTTGAGATTTCTCAGCCGGAGGAATAAAGCCAGACTGATAACAAAGATCAGATCAAACTGCTGTGCTCTCTTGGTGCCCAAACTTCTTGTTTTAGATGACATTAAGTAGTTGTCATTACAAATCAAGCAGCAGTATAGACAGGGCAACAAAGACCAGGAAACAAGGCATATATAAGAAAGCACTTAGAAAGGAACTTTGAGCATAATTTTGGCATGTAAAAAGGACTGGAAAAACTCCACTCCAATTTCAATTTAAGCAGTGACTACAGAGAATGCTGAAAAAGGGGAATGCATATAAATAGATAAGAGAGTTACTTTCCAAAAGGCAGAACTCATTGCTTTGGAGGGCTCAACAATTAATGTGCCGTAAGTCAGACTAAAATAATGACTGCTGGGGATTTCCCATTTTTTTCTAAAAATAGTTTTCATAATTGACTTCCTCATCTATTGTATATCCATATGGAGTGGTGACAGTGGAAACAGTTATCAAATGTATGAATATTTATGTTATCAAATAATTGTTATTACATTTGACATCTGCACTCTGATCTGGATACAGCTTTTGAAAAGACTTTGGAGTGTTTTCCATAGGGAATGCATGAGTATCATCAATACAAAAACTGAGAAGTAAATTTGAGTGTGTTCAAATATTCAAACTGTGACTACAACTATATCCTCCAGTATCCATTCTCTATTCCTTTTAGTAACAGAGTGTTTTGCATCAAGTCCCCATACCCACAGTTTAGCTGGATGTTTGGCTACTTTGGTAGAAATGAAATTATGGATAGACATGGTCTCATGACTTGAATATGTCTGATTAGACAGAAAGAGATATGTCCAACTTCTAAGTTATTCTTAAACAAAGCCACTTTCCCT